TCCTGTCACTCTTTATACACACCCTACAGGAGTGTAGAAGCACTGCATTTGGATAACCAGGTGCAGCTGCTGAACCCTGGATTACAACAGCATGTCACCAAACAGCACAGTGAGGATCTGTAGGCCTATATACAGGCCCTGCAGACACCTGTGAGGATAATTAGTGACACACCTTGATTTAACATGATCCTTTGGTCACATTATTTTTAGGGTTCTATCATTTCTGTCCTGGCCTTTTTCATGAGTTTTATTTATTTATTTTTTAATTCTGTTGAAGCATGGTTGAAAAGTCATGTCTGACTTTCATTTGTTCATTTTTATACAATTTAAATTTATTATTACTTTCAAGTTATTTCTATGACCACTGGGTTTTTTCTTTTCATTAAAGGTAGATGTACCTACAGTTTTGTCCACGTGTGTTCCTGGGATCAGACTTATAAGATCAGAATGTGACATGACTACAGTACACTTCAGGATCAGGGAAGACTCTTGGCACTGGTATCACAGGTGGAGGTCCATGCTGAAGGACTTATAAGATGCAGCTTTAGGCAGGGAGAGGGGGGCTCACAATGATTGGTTAGAGAGGAAACTATGAAAAAGGCTCCCTGATTCCTGTTAGATGCAAACATGAATGTGCTGTTTCCTGCTCTTATACTGATCACATAAGAAGTTTGGCATTAAAACTGTTTTTCTGTTCTTAGATAGAGTTATGCTTTAGCTCAGTTAAAAAAGAACTGAAATTTCAAAGGCTGAGCTTCAGGTCTCATTAGAAAAATTGCAACCACTTTTCCAGATAAGATGTTTAAACAGGAACAAGGTGCCTTCAGGTCACTGAAGAAACAAACTTGTTTTTCCTAAAAAAAGTTTCATTAACCTACTGTTTTCACCCTCTATCCTGGTTTTCTCCAGGAACTTCTGAAGAAACCTCTCAGTTTTGTGGACATAGGATCAGTTATGAGTGAAGGAAAGCATCTTCTCTAAGCTTTAATGACCGGATTTTAACAAAATAACTTCCAGTTAACTTTACAGGTCAGATGTYCATTAATTTATGGGATTTAACTATTGTCAGATCATTTATGATAAATAATTCTCACTGTGTTTCAGCTGAAACTTTAAAAGCTGGTTTTCAGAGTGTTCTGTTAGTGTTCAATTTCAAAATGTGAATAAGAAGGGAGAAAATGGGAGGGGGYAATAAAAAACTGGACAATTCCATAAAAGTTGGGATGTTGTGCAAAATTGTAACAAACAGAATATTTTTATTTCAAAGTCTCAAAAACCTGTATTGTGTTTACAATGGAACATAGTCAACATGTTCAGTGTTGAAACTGATCTTTTTTTGTTTGTTTTGTTGTGTGTGTGTGTGTGTGTGGGGGGGGTATATGAATGGCAGAATGACATCCCAAAGGAGCGATTTCTAGGTCAAGGAAATCTTGTAAAAGTAAATAGTATGAATAAGAAAGAGCTGGAGAAGCACTTTACTACTAATTAGGTTAATATYCAACAAGAGGACTGGATCTAAATGTATTTTAGAGAGGCTGACGCTCTTAAAAGTAAAGATGGTTAAGAATTCAAGAGTCAAAAGGGAAGTTGAACCAGCCTGTTATGGACACACAATTCAACAGCCTGCCTCACTAAAGGTACAGGGTGCAATAGTGTCTCTGTCATTAGTGGGCACCTGACATATGTGGGAAGGATCCAGCAATGCAGAAAATATTCAACAAATGCTCCCATCCAGCCGAGAAAACAAAGGACTGTGGAACAGCTGGAATCCAGCATCATACAAGAATGGGACAACATTGATTTCCAAAACCTCAGCAGCTGACTCCTCAGTTCCCAGATCTTCAGTGTTTTTAAAAGAAATAGGAATGTTCCACCGTGTAAACATGGACATGTCCCAACTTCCTGAGATGTGTTGATGCCATAAGATTAAAAACACTTTTTTTTCAAGAAATGTATAAAAGTTTTAGAAAGTCCTCTGAGGACTAAACTCAATTTATTTTAATGCTACATTTATAAATTAATAAAACTACAATTCAATTTAATAATTCAGTTTATTTATAAAACACCAAATCACAATGAAGATCATTTCAGGGCACTGTACAAAAACATCCATAT